TTTCTCTCTCCTCTCCTCTCATCTTCTCTCCGCCTCTCTTCTCCTTCCCTCTCCTCTCTTCTCCTTCTTCTTTTTTTGTTTCTCTTTCCTTTCTCCATCACCTTTCTCCTTCTTCTCTTTCCTTTCTCCTTCTTTTCTTTCCTTTCTCCTTCTTCTCTTTCCTCTTCATTTTCAATCTCAAATTAATCTTGGTTTTATTTCCTCAATTTTCGCAACAAGTTGCTATGAGTGTTCGAATTTTCGTCAAAATTCGAATAATTGTACATCACCAGCGAAACTATCTCCAGCGACATCAACACAACCACCAACAAGTGTTCTCCACCGACATGCGGGCAGAGCTTCACCAGATTTGTTGAGAAATTGAGACCCACAACCGAGCAACCGACATTTGAAGAACTTTGACTTTTTTCGTTTTTTTTCCCCCTGATTTTGATTTTAAATTTGTATAATTCGTTTTTTTTTTCGTGTTTTTTTTTTTTTTTGGATTTTGATTTTGTATTATTCAATTTGCGTATTAGATCTGTTTTTTTTAATTTGTATATTCAATTTTTCTATTTGCGTATTAGATCTGTTTTTTTGTTTTCTTTTTTGGATTTTGATTTTGCATATTCAATTTTGTATTATTCAATTTGCGTATTAGATCTGTTTTTTTTTTTTTTTTTTTTTTTTTTTTTTTTTTTTTTTTAAATTCTGGGTGGGGTTGGTGGTTGTACGAATATGGTTTAGGTGGGTGGGTAGATCTGGGTATTCGGTGGTGGGTTGTGTGTAGTTGTGGGTTAGGGGGGTTTCGTGGGTGGGGATCTGAGTTGTGGGAGTTTTGTGGGTGGATTTGGGTTGTGGGGAGTTTCGGTGGCCTGATGTGGGGATAATGGCGGTGGTGGTCTGAGGTTGAGGGTAGGGGGGTGGGCTGGTAGGGGTATGGGTGGGTAGGGGTATGGGTGGGTGGTGGGGGTGGTGGGTAGGGCTGTTTTTTTTTTTAATTTTTTTTTATTAACTTTTCCGACGGAAATTTCCGTCGGAAGGTAGTAGATTCCGACGGAAAATTCCGCGGAAGAGGTATATTCCGACGGGATCTTTTCCGTCGGACTCTCGATTAAAGTCAAAAACAGAGCCGACAGAAAAAAATCTGTCGGAAATTCCGTCGGAAACTACCCTTCCGACGGATTCCGTCGGAAAAAGTCGAATTTCCTACAAAGTGTTATGCGACAGACTGATTCCGACGGAATTCCATCGGAAGACCATTTTCCGACGGAATTTCTGATGATTCCGACGGATTTTTTTCGTCGGAATCAAGCTTTTTTCTTGTAGTGAGATAGGGTCATTTTTATACACTTCTTTTAACAAATACTGTAACACCCCCAAATCTCCCTCTACGGAAATATTAGTATAATACGTATAATTACACCGTAGAGATAGACTTAGGTGTATTACCGCCGCATGATTACACAAGGCTACTCAAACTTACTAACCAAAACCAATACTTTGCATCGGAAATTTCAATACTTTCTTTATTACTAATAATATAAATGGTAACCATAGTCATGAGTACTCATAATTGAACAAAGAACAACATTCCTAATCTAGGTGAAGAACATTTTCGGGACTCGCATATGCATAATTCCAAACTCCACCTGAAATTAGTCAACACTGCTTACCATTATGGTAAACAGGGCGAACCAAAACAAATAAGAAATACAGGTTAGCAAAATATGCTAAGTACGATAAGTGCAAGATAAGTAAAATCGATTTATTCGCAAACATGCTTTTAAAACCAATTCCAATAATCAATCCAATGAATTCCAAAACTCATGATTAAACCAATTCTCAATAATCAATAAATCAATGAAACGATTTATAAAACCAATTCCTCTTTTGAAAACCAATTCTGAATATTCTCAAAATCATTCCAATAACTCAACAATAATGATTAATCAAATCAATTATTTTCGAAAACTCAACCTCCTCTCTAAGTGTGCACACCCCCAAAGCTAGTTTCCTACTATTTCAAGGCTATTCTTGGAGAAAGACTAGGTCATACAAAGTCCATAGTCTTCAATGAATCCGCATAGTGGGATTAATATAATAAAAATGCTTGTAAAGCTTTTGAAATAATTCAATAAACCTCTTTAACTCAATAATTCCAATAAATAACTCAAACTCCTTTTTAATTAAATTCAACATGCTTTTAAAATCAACCTTTTACTAAATACTTGAGAATTAAATCTCATATTGATAACCTTTCAAAAATCAATAATTCCTCTTTTGAAAAACCTTTTAATTAATTCATCAAACTTTTCAAATCAATTCCTTTATTCAAACTTGATAAATAATTCAAACCATTCAAACATAACATTAATCCTCCAATTTATTTATCAAATCAATTATTTTAACATGCTTTTATTCCATAAATCATAATTCAATTCAATTTACTTAAATCATCATAAAAATCATGCAAAACAGGCTTATGCAATTCAATCAATTTCAAAAGTATCTAGCCACCTAACGTACCTTTGGTCCTTGCTTAGCAAACACAAAGAAACTTCAAGCATTTGGATCAAACACACCCTACAAATAAATATAACCTTAATTAATATAAGGTTAACAAATAATCATAACAATTAAAAACCCCCCAACTATATGTACATGAATCTTTTAAATTATTTTTCATAAACATGAATAAAAATCTGATTTTATTTAATTAAAACCATTCATAATAATTTTTATAAATCCCCCATAATAATAATTAATTATATAAGAGAAGAGAAGAGAAGAAGAGGTAGAAAACCAAGGGAAAGAGAGAGAGGTGGCGGCAAGGTGGGGCAGCCTTCCGGCAGGTGTCTGGAGGTGGCGGTCGTGGTGATTGGGGTGGCGCAAGAAAGAAAAGAAAAGAAAACGAGAAGAGAAATTAAAGAGAATTGGATTTTCGTTGGAATGAATAGGCAGAATTTGCAGAGGCCATAACTCCTTCAATATAACTCCGAATTAGGTAATTCTTGAGCCTAACCTCAAGGATTTTTCGAGAGGAATAATTTTATGTGAAATAGAAAAACACAAAACTGACCAGAAGTGCCCGAAAATTGGCTCCAAAGATATGCGGGCTGATTTTCTTTTAGAAAAAAGGAGAAGAAGAGTAAGAGAGAAGAAGAGAATTGAGTTTTTGGTGTGAAGAATATGAGAGGTATGAGGGGGTATTTATAGGCTAACTCATGCAAGAATTATGGCAAGAGAATGTGAGAAGAATTATGGCAAAAAGAATTAAGGAAATTACTTGGAGAAGAGAGCTTAATAATTACGGAAAGTTTAATATCAAGGTGAGTAAGAATAATAAAATTAAGGAAAGTATGTTGTCATGAAAAATAATATGGAAAAGGATGTTTACTTGGGGAATAATCAAAAATAAAATAAGGTAGGGAAATAAGATGATCATAAGAGGTGGAAAATAAAATTAAAGAAAATAAGAGATTTTAAGGAGATAATTAAAAATACAATTTACCAAAATAAATCACCCAAAAATCCAACCAAGTGGCCGAAATTTTTGAGCTTCCATAACTCCAAAATTTCGGACATCCTTGTAGTATTTAGGAAATATTTTGCTAGATTTAAGGCTTAAATATAATTGTGTAAATAATATTTATTGTTAAAAATAATTAATTAAGAAAATACCAATTATTCACTAAATAAAATAACTAAGAAAATAAGATTTTCTACACATAGAAAATTCAAAAATCATAGTAATTGAATTACGAATTTTCGGCCCTTATAAATAAATAATAAAATATAACTTAAAATATCTGAAATATATAAATAATCCGATTTTTAAAATAAAATAAATAGATAATAAATCTTATTCAAAATCCAAAATTAATAATTATGTTTTAAAATACTTTTGTCATTTTGGCACCAAAATTCAAATAGTAGAATAAATTACTAAAATACCCTTTTTAGATAAATAATTAATTAATTAGAAAATACATTTCAAAAATACGGGGTATTACAAATACTCAATAAGGCGATTATACCACATGCGCCCTGATTGTTTCAATGCATATAGAGATCTATTCAATTTGATTGAGTATTGTTCTCGATAACCTGAATTTGCTGCTTCTGGCAGTTTAAATCCTTATGGGAGTTTCATGTAAATGTCATTATTCAGTGGGCCATATAAGTCCTTCTCTTATTGCCAGACTAATTAAAAATCTAAAAGTAGTTGCATCCACCATAAGAGAGTATGTCTCCTCATAATCAATATCGGGTCTTTGTGAGAATCCTTGTGCAACAAATCGGGCCTTATATCTTACAATATCACCATTTTCATTTCTCTTTTGTACAAAAACCCATTTATATCCCATTGGTATTACACCTTCAGGTGTAGAGACTTGTACGTAGTAAATCATTTAATATTTTTATTTGAAAATAAATTGTGAATTTCTTCTCATTCATTATATATTTAGATAAAATTCCTAATATCAAAAGATAATATTTTATATTTAGTTAATTTAAACTTTAAAATCTCATTCGTCAATTTTGCTTGTGTGGCATTTGAATTATTTAATTCTAAAAGAATTTACAATTCTCTTATTTAATTGGATATAACTAAAATTTATAATCCTACAGAGCGCGTTATAACTAAAATTTAAAATTCTACAGGGCGCGTTAAGAAAATTTAGTCCTACGTGGCTCTCTAAAAGCTCGGGAAAAAACTCCCCTATACTCGTATATATATTAAATTTGTATCAAATATATATATATATAACTAGTTTTGTGCCCCGTGCGATGCCCGGGTTGTTTATTGAATTTTAAAATAAAACTTTTTATCTAAAATTTATATGTTTTTTTGAATTTTTTTTATTCATGGATTAATAACTGCTTGATAATTGTATTTGCAAAATAAAAAATATAGTACTAACGCTCATAAAGATCTTTGGTAACATTGTACGCCTAAATATTGTTAGTTATTTGATAATTAGTAACATATTACTATGTTTGCCTTAACAGGACAAAATTGATGCTTTGGAGTCAGCACAATCACAAGAAGATGGTAATGTATGCAATGACCCTTACAGTGAAGTGATTCCACCTCCTAAACGCAAAAGTCGTTTGCATCTATATGGCTCGGGTGTGAAAAAGAGTGATTTGAAGAACAAAGATACAAAGTCAAATTACATACTCCCGGAGGAATTCCTGGTAGACATAAAAACACAATTAGTCCAAGAAATTGCACCTACCATCACCGCTGCAGTTTTGGATTCGATTCGCGAGGTGAACCCCGGGATTAATCTTGTGGTTCCTAGTACTCTGCAGCAATTGACTCCGCATGATGCATCTAGTGCACCAAATCGAAATACTGCCCAAAGTGGACAATCTTCAAAATCATTTAATCAGGTATAATCTGCACTTCTCTGCTCTAAACTTTAATTTCTAAACTTCCCTTGACTGCTTGCTTGACTCCTTGACTGACTAACTGCCTGACTGACTGACTAACTGACTGACTGCCTGCCTACCTGACTAACTAACTGACTGACTGACTGCTTGACTTGCCTGCCTGACTGATTGCTTGCCTGCCTGACTGACTAACTGATTGATTGCTTGCCTGGCTGACTAACTAACTGACTGACTGACTGCTTGACTTGCCTGCCTGAATGACTGCTTACCTACCTGACTGAAAGCTTGCCTGCCTGCCTGACTGCTTGCCTGCTTGCTTGCCTACCTGCCTGACTGACTGCTTGCCTGTCTGCCTAACTGCTTGCCTGCTTTCTTGCGTACCTGCCTGCCTGCCTACTATAGAAGGGGCTGGCATAATTATGCTGAGTTTGCCCATATAGAGCCTCACAACTTGCATCATTCCACTCCTTATCTCCCTCTAGCATTCCCCGAGCATAACAATCAGGTGTGCGATAATTAATGTCGTATGCTGATCACATTATGCTGGATCTTGTCTCCCATGTGAGACTGTCAGAGACTGGCTAGCCGACCCCTGCTGCAGTAACTCTCACTCCTCCCTGCTCTGACTCTAATTCAATTGAAACAGAAAATCAAGGCTCACTCAAGGAATTAATTGCTAATAATTGACTGAACAGTGTAATTAATGTTTCTAGGGAGAATGTTGGTATTTATTGATAACTAATTTCAGATTACAAACTCATGACTTAAGGCCATGAATCTCTTAGTAGCTTTAGGCCACAACTCTCTCAATGTGTTTACAATTTTCTCAATGACCCTCCAACATGAGTGGTTTCCTATTAATACAAGGAGTTGTTTCTAAAGCGTACAAAACATCATAGCTAAATTACAACTAATTAACCAACAGCTTTACTAGAGAAGAGCTCAATATCCAATGGTCCTTTCTGTGCAAAGGTGTCCTTGAGCAAAAGTGTTTCTGACTTCTCCTTCTTTCTCCAAAAGTGACGGCTTAACAAGGCTGCCTAAGCCTTGTGTGTAATTGCTGTGTTCCTTCTTGTGCCCTCCTGTTGTCCCCCACCTCGGTCTCTTCGCTCATACACTCGAAAGGCCTTGCCGGTATTAGAGTCTATAGCAGAGACATCTAAAATGCCTTAACTTCTATTTTTATCTCTTTGATGTATTAAATCCTGGAAGTGGGTTTCCATTTTGATAACTTGGATTCCTGAGGAATCTCATAAAACCTTTATCTTTGGATGATAGTCAGTCTCTCCCCTTTTATTTATCTTCCAATATTCAAGATGACTTCTTTCTGACAGAAAGTAATCAATCTCTCTAAGTAATTCTTAGCCTGGGATGAAGCTTTGTTTTATCCCAAGGGGGCCGAGGCCCTTGTAAAAATACTATACTGCATACAAGTATTGCTTAAATCTTTATAGCATTCTACATTAATATGTTCCTGGTATTTAACAACTTCGAGCTGTTTAAACATAGCATTAGCTGAAACTGTTGATATAGCCTTCTGATGTCTTTTGTTTGTTTGATTTCACTTACCATTGGATGTGGAAAACTGTTAAAATTATGATATCTTGCCAAGGATGTCTGATTTTTGTTCTCTTATTGTATATTTTGTACTTTGATGACTGATTTGTGTGTTGTTGTGCGTTATTTAATTTCCCCAATTGGTGTTGTTATTGTTGTTGGTATTGTGGCTTATGCATTACTTTTTTTACTTAGGTGGTTGATGACGATGAGCTACCCCGGGATGAATGAAGTAAGGACTAATGTTGATTTTATGTATCTATTGCAACTTCTAGAGAGCTTTCAAATTAAACGTTTGTTAATTAATTAGCTAGTGAACTTTCATTTATAATTAGTTAGTATTGACACTTCCTTTACTTTTGTAATGCAACGAATATATATTATATGTACTTCGTTTATTTTGTAATGCAACGAAGATATATTATATGTACTTTAATTTGTTTATTTAAATTATAAATATACTAATATAATTTATATTTATTATTATAGATTTTTTTTAAAAAAAAGTTACCTAATACAACGGTTTTAAAAAACAAAAAGAAAAAAAAGGGGTCTAATACAACGGTTTTTTTTTTTTTTTTTAAAAAGGGGGGCTATTACAACGGTATTAAAAAAGGGGGGGGGGGGCTAATACAACGGATGTAAAAAAAAAATAAAAAATAAAGGACCTAATCCAATGGATTGGGCGAAAAATCCGTTGGATTAGGTAGATACCTAATACAACGGATTCATCAATCCGTTGGATTAGGTCCAATTATTCCCAAAAAAACAAAAGGGAACCTAATCCAACGGATTGAAGAAACCGTTGGATTAGGTATCTACCTAATCCAACGGATTGCTCAATCCGTTGGAATAGGTCTATTTTGCCGTTGTATTAGACCTAATCCAACCCTTGCAAATGTGACGGTTGGAAACCGTTGTATTAGGTCTAATACAACGGTTTTTGACACCTAATACAACAAAAAAACCCGTTGTATTAGCTCTTAAATGTAGTAGTGAGATATAGATATGGGTGGTTATGTGATGCAAGTAGCATGGTTAGAGCAATTAGGAGAAATCAGTTTGGAGTTACGCCTACTTTCATATTGTTGGATGAAATTCCTAGGATAAGTTGGGAGTTACACATATTTTCATAAAGACTGGTTATATCAGTTATACTTGTATGTAATAACAGGTCTATTTGATTTTTCATAGGGGAGGAGAATGGGGGTACAATTGTACCTCTATATACCCCTAATCCACCACTTATAATATAAAATATCAGTATTTTATTGAAAATAGAATTCTAAACCAAAAGTTTTATCTTAAAATTCTATCCAAAAATAAAATTGTAAAATGATTTTTTTATCCTACAAAATCTATCCTACAAAATTTATCTAAATCTATCCAACTTTTTATCCTACAAAAAAAAAAACAACATTTAAATTAATCCTACATGTCATACTAATCATTAATTGCGCCTACATGGTGCGACACTTTGCGAAAAGTTCAAACGCCAAGTGTCACTGTCTCGTAGCTTGGCTCAAAGTTTAGCTTTATATATTAGTTATATGATAATCCAAAGTTGGTATTATTTTGAATGAACCGGCAAAATTCGAGATTATTTTTACCTAAGTAACCCCTATAAAACTAACCGAGTAACCGTTGTAATACTAACTGAGTAACCTCTAACATTGCCCTATCTATAACGCTGATTGAGTAACCAATATAATACTGACCAAGTAACTCCTATAGCACTAAAGAAGTAACTCTAGTAATAGTTGGTGACACAGTTTGGCTCGTGTCATATGCGTTAAAAAATCTTAAAAAATCTATCCAAGAATCGCTTACATAGCATCATATGTGTCACAATAATACCTATTTATCCCCTACGTGACTCGACACTTGACAAAAAATGGAATGTCAAGTGTCGATGTCTCGTGGCCTGGCTGCGAGACCGACTTTATATATTAGTGGCTAGTTTTGTGTCCGAGCGATGCCCAGATGGTTGATAAAATTTTAAGGTAATATTTTTACTTGAATATTAAATACAGTCAAATAATTCGTTCTGATAATGTAGGATATTTAGACATGCGACATCATGTGGAGTGTACTTTGTATAGTTTTGTTTGTAAATAGATATTTATGTTATTATTGACTTGAAATTATTTTTATTGAACTTAAATTATTTTCACTGAACTGAAAGTGTTTTTACCAAACTAAAATTATTTTTACTGATTAAAGCTTATTTTACAGATTCTCTAATATTTTTTTAAATAAATTAAATAATAATGCATTTTGTGTGCGGCTAACCACACCATTTGGCCGGACAAAGTAACCCCTATAAAATTGACCGAGTAACCCATGTAATACTAACTGAGCAACCTCTAACACTGACTAAGTAACCCCTGTCTATAATACTGATTGACTAACTACTATAATACTGACCAAGTAACCCCTATAGTACTAACGAAGTAACTCTGATCCTATAATAGTTGGTGACACGGTTTGACACGTTACGTTTAACATTATAAATGGATCTTATTTTAAAGAACTTTTTAAAACAAATTTGATGATGGAAATAAAATTGAGTTATACAATATTTATTAAAAGTTATGATTAATTTTGTATATATGAAATATTATAATTCTATCAATAATAAAACTTTATACAACAATTTTATCTTAAAAAATCTATCTAAAAATCGCTTACTTAGCATCATATGTATCACAATTATACATATTTATCTCTTACGTGACACGACACTTGGCGAAAAATTGGAATGCCAAGTGTCGCTGTCTCGTAGCCTGGCTGCGAGACCGACTTTATTTATTAGTGATATGATATGAAAAAAATATATATAAAAAAAACTTATTTAAGAAAATAAAAAATTGTTTGAAATTGTAAAATGAGATCTTTCTACCACCATATGAGAAGTATAAAAAACTTTTTTTTTTTCAATAGAATTTATTCTAGCAGAAAGCCATTGTTTAATCATATACAAACATCATCCATCAATTTCAATCCACCAGATTTATGATAAGCTAATGGTTAAAACTTTAAATAAAACAAACCGATATATAATGTTTAATAATTAATTAAAAATAAAGTGCAAATTTAAACATATAAAAAATGACAAAAGTAAAATGAAAAATCGAAGAGTTCAGTTATTTGTGGGTGGTGGTTCGCCTATTAGTGAGATTTGACTGTATGTCTATATGAGTGTTGGTTGTGATGATAGGAGCGTGTTGGATAGAGTTGTTGAATGGAGGGTGGTAGTGGTGGTGGTGATAAAGTTGATGGAAGTGATTATTGATTGAAAAAGGAGAGAAGAAACATGCTTTAGGTAATCGGTGGTCGGATAATGTTTGACCCGTTGGATAATGTTGTCGGCAACTATGGCGATCGGTGTTTCAAAGGGGATGCCGAATTATTGGAGAAAGGGTGAAGAGTAATGACTTCTGAGGTGGAAAAGGGAATGGATAATGTTTGGGGTTGAGGAATCAGTGTAGAAGGCTTTTAGGGAAGTGAAAAATAAAAGAGGATAAAAGGAATAAGGGGCGAATGACAAAAAAAGATTCAACAAATACATCAAAGGCAATGAAGACAATTTACTCCCTTACCTTTGATGAATACCCTAACCAAACGTTCTTAAAATCAATTTCTCCGAATTGAATCATCTTGTACGAATTGAAACTAATCTCACTAATTTAATCAATTTATGCTTCATTTTCATGCTAAAAACTTTTTTTCTTTTATTCTTTTTGAAATTTATAATTTTGGGTATATCTTGAAATATTAAATTAAATCAAATTTGTAATGGTAGTTCAGTAGTTTGATGTTTATTTCTTGTACTAAATCACGAAAATGCAATTTTATCATATTATTGGAATAACTAGCTTATTTTAGATAATATTGAGGAGTTGAGCTTATTTTCTCCGCTTAAATGTCTTCATATGTTTATTCTTCTTTTTGTTTGAAAAATCGTGGGTTTATGTTAAAATTGGTTATCAACAGGTTGAAATACGTGTCTTAATTTTCTCTTTTAGTTTTGTAGACAAAATCTCTATAAAATTTTTGTGATTTACAATTCTCTACATTTTTAAGTTTACAAACATCATCTTAACATAATTATTTGTTGGGAAAAATGTTTTTTTTTTTCCCCTTTGGATAATCAAAATAAGAATAAAAAATATATATATAAAGTGACACAAAAATTTGGTAAAATAAAAATTCCAAAATAGTGAAAAACCATTGGACTACTCTCCAAAACTTCCACTAAAATGATGGTAGGATTGCAAGAATTTTTCAACCAGAATGTAGTATAATTCTCACTATTATATGTGGAATACTCTATTACAAATTTCTCTCACTTAATTAGTGGCTTTCTTTCTCTCTTACAAAGCTTATTGTGTGAAAAGCTCTCCTATTTATAGATGTCTAAAAGACACCTAGAATCTTCCACACAAAGATGGAGAAATGTACATAGCCACATTAACTTTATCAAGAAAATGTGAAAAGTTTATGGTGATCAATTACGGCCTGATCCAGTAGCTCAGTTCGAAAAAAAGTGAATTTGGATAAGCTTAAAAACATTTTTTTTAGTTAAAATCTAAACCTGATCAGAAAAAAAAAAAGCTTAAAAAGCCTATTACTTTTCCAATAAGTCCGTATGAGTTTGGACATGATATTTAATGTTATGGCCTGAACCTAGAGCTGTCAAAAGTTGACCCGACCCGAAATACCGACCCGTTCCCGATTATTAACCGACCCGTCTAAACCCGGAAAAATGATGACCCGAACCCGATATGAAACCAACCCGAGACCCGAGTATTTGAGACCCGAACCCGAACATGACCCGACCCGGAGATGACTCGACCCGAAGATGACCCGTAAAATATTGACTTGAACCGAACCCGACCTGAACCGAAATTGACCCAAACCCGTTTTAACCCGTCAAAACCCGAATTTAACCCGACCTGTTCCTAACCCGACCTGAATTCAACCCGACCTATTCCTAACCCGACCCGTATTTAACCCGACCTATTACTCACCCGACCCGAATTTAACCCGACCTATTACTAACCCGACCCGAACTTCAACCCGATCTATCACTAACCCGACCCGATCTGTCACTAACCCAACCCGAAATCAACCCGACTTGTTATGCACTCGTCCCAAATTCAACCCTACTTATTATTGACCTGACCTGAAATCAAATCGACTTGTTATTTTATACATCTTTATTATTGTAGATCAGATACTGAATAAAGATATATGCTATATATATTCTAAGCTACTCGTTATGTCGAAACTTTGTAAGGCTAAAATTACTCTATGTCAATATTGATCAAAGTATTTTGTCTTGGATGCAGAGAGACCAAGTCGATCCAACAAAAGAAAGAAGCATCATCCCCAAATTTAGGTGTTAATTATAGTATATATATATAT